CTTAGATTATAGACTGGGAAAGGGAACAAAGACCAGTAAGCTCTGAGTTTATATAATTTTGTTGTTGTTGGTCAGTTATTTTCAGTCAAGTCCAACTCTTTGTGACCCTATTTTGGGGTTTTCTTGGCAGAGATCCTGGAGTGGTCTGCTATTTCCTTTTCTGGCCTATTTAGCAGATGAGGAAATTGAGGCAAACAGGGTTAAGTGACTTCCCTAGGATCACACAGCTAGTACATGTCTGAGGCCAGATTTGAATTCTTCCTCATTATAGGGCCAGCACTCTATCCACTGTGCCACCTAGCTGAGCTAGGTTTATATCATAGGGGGAAAGAAAACAAGGGAAGGCTTTTGGGGACTAAGTCCCCAAAAGATGTCCTTAGATAGTTGGAAATGGAAAAAATTTAGGAATAGGATAAGTGCATAGATGTAGTTACTCTTACATTGAAAAGGACTCTTGGATTTCCTAGGGGACATAGAGTGAAGGCATCTCTGGGTTTACTCAGCTAGAGGTAGGTCCTCCTCAATTGGGAACCTAGAATCCAAGCTTATGGCACTAGGCAAATAATCAAAATAGGGCACATGGAATCAAGAAAGATTCAAAATAGAATAGTATTGACAAATGATAATATAAAGGCAGTGTAGTGATGAGAATTGTCAGCAACTGAGAAAATGTATAGAGAAAAGATAAGAAGGATCAGATAGCTTTGGGTTATATGTGGTTAGAAGATGTGCCATAGATGAAAATTCTGAAAAGAAGACTGGCAAGAAGTACTCAGATGGGGAAGAAGGAAAACCAAGAAATGCAGTGTCTCAGGAGCCCAGAGAAGAAAGAGTATCTAGGAGAAGAGAATGGTCAATAGTCTCAAATGCTACTATCATTGAGAAAAAAATCATTTGATTTGGCAATTAAGAGATAATTAGTAACTACAACAGTTTCAGTTGAATGATTGGGTCAGAATATAAATCACTAAAAACATAAAATATTTTAAAACATCTTGCCAAATCTAAGATGTCTGGGAGCTTAAGTTAATGGGAGCCATCCTTTCGAAGGGGGAACACAAGATGACATCCTAGATTTACTACAAGAAGGGACCTTACAGAGTACATAGCCCAACCTCACATTTCTCAGACTAGGAAAGAGGCTCAAAGAGGGAAACCGACCCAAGGTTACACCTATGGCCAAGCAAATGAGCAGAGGTGGATTCAAAACCTATCTTCAGAGCCCTATTTTTTGTTTTTGTTTTTCCTCACTACAATATTCTGACACTTCTTTTCTCACATTTCCCCTGATGGAGCTTAGACTCACTTCAAATGCTTCATTCTGGATGCAGCTCCTTATTTCATCATCTTTATTCAGATCCACTGTATCTCTTCTGCCTTAAACTGTCTCCTGAGCTCAGTTCCATTTTATGAACCACCTATTGGATATTTTGAACTGGATATGCTGCAGACATCTCAGATTCAACGTGTCAGAAACAAAATATTATCTACCTTTTGAAATTCACTTATTCTGAACTTTCCTACTTATGCTGAGGGTGCTACCATACTTCTAATCATTCAAGTTTGCAACCTTGACTCTTTATTTTCCTTTACCCCTAAATCCGGTTAGTTGTTAAATCTCATTGTTTCTAACTCTACAACATCTTTTTCATCCATCCTTTGTTTCTAACTCTACAACATCTTTTTCATCCATCCTTTTCTCTTCACTTGTACAGTTTCAATCTCAGTTCAGGTCTTCATCGTATCTTACCTAGATTCTTGTAGTAGTCTGCTAATTGATCTTAAATATAACTGCCAAAGTGATTTTTCTTAAAGCAACTGTGCAACTCTCCCCAAAACCCACACCTGCACCCAACTCAACAAACTCCAGTTTGTTGAGGCTCTCTATCACCTCCAGGATCAAATATGAACTACTCTGTTTGGCATTTAAAGATCTCCTCACCTCTAGCCTTGTTATACATTATTCCCCTCTTTTCACGCACTCCAAGATGAAGCCATATTGACCTTGTTGGTCCTTAAATATAACATTCCATCTCCATCTCTCTGCCTTCCCATTGGCTGTCTCTCATTTCTAGAATGTTCTCTCTCCTCATATCCATCTCTTGGAATCCCTGGCTTCCTTCAAGATTCAGTTCAAGTTTCACCTTCTGTACAAGCTAAGTCTTGCCTGGTTCCTTAGCTGCTAGTGTTTTCCCCTCTAAGGTCACTTTGTATTTGCTTTGTATATACCTATGTGTGTCTATAACAAGGCATGAGCAGAACTGTCCTACCTGCTTCTGACCAACTACCTACTTGTGCTAGCTCAGTGCTTGGATTCTTTGGAAGTGACAAAGCCTCTGGTTGATTCTGCCTGTATAACTCAGTGCCAAAGACTCTAGGACTTTGAAAAGGCTGACAAGCAATCCCCTTATTAGCCACTGGAAAGGAAGAGTCAATGACAGCAGATCTTTAAAAAGGAATGATATCATTCCTATTGCTCTTCTTTCTTCAGAGCTCCAGGTGGCAAGTAGTGCCTTTATGGCAGGGGGGAGATGACTGTCCTTCCTCTCAACTCAGTTGCATTGAAACTAATCTCAGGAGGTGGCTAGAACAGGTGTATAGCAGATGAATTGAGTCCAGTCCTTGGGAGCCCTGGCTGCCTTTTCTTATTTCTTTTTCCTTTCTTGAGCATAGGTTACTAAACAACAACCTTCAGATGGATGAATCCAGTCATGGAAGTGTCAGGACCCCCACACCAAGACCACTTCTCTCTCTTTTTTTAAGGAGATATTCTTTTTCTATTATTATTTTGACTTAAATACTCTCTCTTTTCTTACTATTAGGAGACACCTTGTTTTCCAGAGCTAAGGGCCCCCCTTCCTCCCCTAAGCAAGCTATGCCCTGAACTTGGCATAACAATAGTCCTTTGTATTCACCTTCTAGGTTAACTCTGTTACAGCTAAATCACAGAATAGGTTCAAACCAGCCCCTGAGTTCTTGAACTCAGACAAGCATCTGCAGGAACCACATTCTGGTCATGAAGCCCTGTTATGAATAGACTTTTTGTCACTAGGCAAACTTGCCTTGTTGTTTTTGCCTCATTGCTGTGGTTATACCTCACTGCTTATTCTTTGTCTAGCTACAACTATATGTATCAAGCCTTAGCCTCAATGCCTTGGGTCTCTAGATCCTAGAGCAGACCCTGGCACATGTGTTTAATTTCCCTCCTCTAACATAATAAAGAAAGCTTTTTGCTTATAACCTCTGTCAGCAATTTGGTATTTTATTTTATCTCATTTTTTCAGAGGGTTAGTACATAAGCTCTGTGAGCTCTTTAGTATTTTCAACCTTAACAGTTGGTGTATAACCCCTGTGACTCTTTGGTCATTTATTTTTCAGAGTTAACAGAAGAAACCTTATGAGTTCAATTGGTCCTCAGTTGGAGTTTACTGATAGTAGGTGTTTCTGCATCAAAGAAGACACTGCTATTACAGTAAAGAGTTCAAGTCCAGAAGACATAGACCTAGAGGTAATTGTTTGGACAGTGTAAAGCTGAGGTGAAATATAATACTACCTATTCAACAGTCCTGCAAACTGCTCCATGTTCTGATGCTTAAGTCCCAATCTCCTGTCATAACTGTAGTTATAACTTTCTGGTTAAGTTTCTGTCAGTGGGAGCTTGGGAAAACCTTTTGTGTTTAGCATTTCTTTTACATGAAATCAAATAAATTATGTGTTTTGTACCTAATTCGTACTGAATATTGAGCAGCTTTCTACAGATCTCTTTGGGGACACTGAACATGCGCCAAACCGACGCTTTTTAAATAACTTTTTCCTATGGTTAGAGTGGGAGTGTGAAAGCCAAAGGATGTGGGAAAAAGAAGACTGATACTTCTGATGCGGTTTAGGGGGTTCAGGGATCCTGGGACCCCAAAATCACAACATGTGGGTCCTGACCAAAAGTATTCAACCCAAGCCTTCTTTCAGCCAAAGACAAGGTTTATTAGAACGTCTGCCATATTGGGCAGACTCTTAAGGAGTCTGAACATTAGTAAGCTATTGGCTAGATTTTAAGAATCTGAGCAGTGGCTAGACTTCAGGAATCTAAGCAGTGGCTAGATTATAAGAATCCTAGCATCTTAATGGAGACAAGATGGACCTTATATACAGAAAGCCTGTAGGAGGGCTCTAGGAGTGGCCAAGTAGTTTTGGGTGACTAGAGGATGGGGCCTAAGGAGATCTGGATGGGAGGGGAAATAGCCAGGGGCCATAGGGAGATAAGACAATGGAGGGGAGATTGGATGTAGCCACAAGGAAAGGCCAGTTGATGGGATTATAGCCTCAGGCAATGCCAGAGATTTGGCCACGTGGGAAGTCCAGTTTTTCCTTTCTGGGGCCTACATCCCAACCCCATCACTTCTAGGTGAGTAGATTCCCTCAGGACAAACCCAGCCTGGACAGTGTGTTTGGATCCTTTCTTAGTGGAGAGGGAAAATGCTCCCTCGGGCCCAGCAGCACATCATTGTTAATGTGCCTGATGATTTCCTGTACATTTGAATGTAAACTCCTTAAGGGCTGGGAGGTGCACTTTTTTCATTGTAGCCCTAGTGCACAGCATAGTATCTGGCACATTCCTGCTTCAATCCTGGAAAGTGTCAAGTCAGTCAGTCAACTGGCATTTATTAATCAACTACACTGTGCCAGATACTGCACTAAGTCCTGAGGAACCAAAGAAAGGCAAAAAACCCCAAACCAAAAAAAAAAAAAAAAGGTTTAAAAAGTGCCTCAAAAGTCCAGCTATCTGTCATAGCTTGTCCTCTCAGCCTTGCTGTACAATTGATCTCAAGTCCTTTCCATCTATCTACTTAATAATTCATCCATCTGTTTATCCATCCATCCATCCATCCATCCATCCATCCATCCATCCATCTATCTAATCTATCCCAATCTCCCCCTCTTTCCATCCTTGAAGCCTTGGGCTCCCTTCCTGCTCCGCATCGCCTGCCTCTCTCCATCACGATCCCCCTCTACTAAGATGGCGTCAGCATTGTCAGGCGACGCCCTAGCTTCTAGTTTCCATCTACCGCCTTCTTCTGGTCAGGTGATCTTGGAGGCGGAGTCATGTGACTAACATAATGGCCAGTACCTAACCCGCTCCGTTATTGCGGGCTTTATCCTGGTGAGAGATGGTGGCTTGCAAGATGTGGACTAGCCTGCGAGCGGCGGAGGGGCGATTATTTCTACTGCTGCTGCTGGGGCTGCTTCCGCGGCCTCACAACCCCGCGTGGGTGTCCGACTTTCGGCCCTCTCTCCAACGCGTGCTGCACCGGGACCCCAGCCACTCGCACTACGTCCTGGATGATGTCCCTGGGCTCGGTCGGGTGTTTGACGGCATCGGCGGGCTGAGCGGCGGCGGGGTAAGCGCCCCCGGGGGCTGCCGATTCGCGGCTGAGCTCGCCTGCCCCGGGAGCTCTCCGCGCCTGTGGGAGAGGGAGGCAGGCGCGGGGTGAGGAGGGCGGGCGGCGACCGAGGATCGTCGCCCCTGCCTCCGTCCCCGCCCCCGCCTCCCGCCTCCCGCCTCCCGCCTCGGACCGTAGAGGACGATGTCGAGGTTCTTCTGCCGGGAGTCTGTCACGGATGGAGGCGTGCACACATCCTTCCTGCGGAGGAGGACTAGGGTCCCGAACCGGTCTGCCCCCCGGAAGTGCACGTGCGACAATTAGACTTGGGAACCCCCCTGACCTTGCATTTCCTCAACCTGTAAAATGGGGTAATAATAGCCCTTGCCACCCAGGGAAGTGTTTGTGTGAGGAGATGAGGTAACCGGTGTAAAGCACTTTTGCAAACTTTAAAAACTGTATAAATTTGAGCTCAAGCATTTATTAGTAACTTATGTGCTACACACTTCAGTTATACAAAGAAAGCCTATATAGATAGTGCCTTCACAAGGAGCTCACTGACTAGTGGGGAAAGGAGAGTGCTGTGAACCATCTGTCAGTCACAGTCATTAAAGGCATTATATGCTAAATTCTAGGAATACAAAGAGAGGCCATAGATGATCCCTGCCCACCTGGAGCTCACAGCCTAAGGGGAGGGGAGGAAAAGGCAATATTCAAATAACTTTGTACAAACAAGCTACATTTTGAATAAATTGGAGATCATCAACGGAGGGAAGGCATTAGTGTTAAGGGAGATCTGAAAAAAAAAACCAATTGGGAATTGAAGGAAACCAGAGAAAAGAGGCAGAAAAGAGGAGGAGAAAGAGAATTTCAGGCATGGGGGACAACAGTAAGTGAAAATGCCTGGATTGGGGGGGACCTAATGGTACTTTTTAACTTTTTTTTTTTTGCCTTTCTTTGGATCACCGGACTTAGTACTGTCTCGCACAGAGTAATTGATTAATAAATGCCAGGAGACTGACGTGACACTTCAAGGATTGCAGCAAGAATCAAGCGATTAACAAGCATTTATTATGTGCCTGCCCTGTACCCTACAGTATGCTGTGCTAGGGCTACTAGGAGAAAAGTACAACTCCTTGCCCTCTTACAGTTTACATTCAAATGTGGAAGCAATCTGCTAGTAAGTCTAACACTTAGAGGCTGCTGGGCCCAAGGCACCACTTTCCCTCTCCTCTAAGGAAAGATCCAAACAGTCTCTCCAGACTCCTAGAAAAATGTTGTGGTGGGGTATAAAGTGTAGAAAATACTGCAAAGTGGTTTGGGGGGGTGGGGTGGAAGGGTCAGGTTTTGAAAAACTTTGAATGCCAGAGAAGGATTTTATATTTCATCTTAGGAGGAAGTAGCTGCTTGTCTTCTGAGTAATAATATAGATTTACAAGTGATGTCAGGTAACAAATTTGAACAATAATTGTCAGCAGAAGATAATTCATTGCACACATTCATTGTTAATGGGTAGACTGAACCAAAATAATTTTAGAAATGATAGTACCTACTTTTCTTATTCAGTGCCATGCAAATCAAACTACAAGAGAATTACCTGAAAATATAATCATGAAATTTATCTGAAGTAACAAAAGGGCAGGAACCTTTAGGTAAATAATGAAAAAAAGAGGGAGGGCTTCAAAACAGTCACAGTCAAGAAGATGTCGTACTGGTAAAGACAGAGGTTGATCAGTGGAATAAACAGTATATGGAAGCAAAGGAACGCAGTAGCCTTGTTTTTTGATAACCCAAAAGATCCAGTTATTGAAGCAACAATTCACTCTGACAAAGCTACTGCTACTGAAAGCAGTCTGGATGAAGTTAGGTAAAGCCTAACATCTCACACTGTACCCACATAAGCACCAATTAGATATGGAGGGTGACATTGTAAACAAATTAAGGAAGTTACTGTCAGATTTATAACAATAGTAATAATTGCTAACATGTATATAGTGTCAACTGAAGCATGGGGATACAAATACAGGCAAAACTAAGTGTATTTCCTGCCTTCAAGTAGCTTGCATTCCAAAGGAGTAAGACAAGCAAGTGGTGTGCTGAGGAATACTGATGTGATTACTAGAGAGATCTGCTTACTATTTATTTTACGCAATTTTAGTGATTCATATGGGCATAAATTATACTTCTGGAAATGTTAAATACATTAACGTCTTGGGCAAGAAGTTGAAGACTTTCGAGACGCAAGTCCATTGTTGTGGAATGAACGCAAGGCCTTTAGCAGAGAGAGGTAGATTTGGGAAATGAGTAACTGGTTAAAAAGATGGTATCTGAGAATAGGATTTCGATTTCTGATCCACATCTTGGCTTATAAAAATAACAGCTTCTTTTTAGTGTTATGTACCTAGAAGGGCTGGTAAGGGCTGGTAAGGTGTTTGCCTGAAATCTTGCAAATCTGTTCAAAAGGGCTTTTAAATTAAAGTGAAAGAGAAGGGAGAAATCTGTTGACTTTGTTAGAGTAGCTACTGAGTAGGAAGATGAATAGCAATACAGATGCCAAAAAATTCTTCAGAAGCAAAACCGAAGGATTTTAGCACTATATCCCTTGGTCTCATTTCTTTTCTCTGATGGACAAAACATTTCTAATAAGCAAGTGGAACTAGAGAGCTTAATGCCAGAGGCAAATTTGACGTAGAAAAGTTACTACACAGAATGTTTTTAAAAAGGAAACAAAATCAGTAAAATGAAATGTACTAGCATTGTGTGTGTGTATTCTTTGAAAAAAGTTCTTTTGTCTTCCTTTTAAAATTAATTTTTTCAACAAGTGAAAATCCCACCCTTTCTTCCTCCAACCTCCTCACCTCTGTTGAAAAAGAAATAACAAAGCCCTTATAAGAAATAAGCATAGTCATGGATATTTATTAGAAGCTCCATTTTAAAGAGGGGCTCACACTAGTCACACTTGTTATAGTTCAGTTGTGTCCAACCCTTTGTGACCTCATTTGGGGTTTTCTTGGCAAAGATGATGGAGGGATTTGCCATTTCCTTCTCCAGCTCATTTTACAGATGAGGAAACTGAGGCATATTCTATTTTTACTTGGCTCTCTGGTTCCAAGAGTTCTGGAGAGTTGTGTAACTTCTCATGTGACATTTAGACCTTTTTTTGGTCATAGCTTTGTATAGTTTAGAGATTCTTAAATCATCTCTTCTTAATCTATTTTCTAATCCATATTTTTATATGAGATATTTTACATTTTCTGCTATTCTTTTCAGTCTTTTGTTTTTTTTTTGTTGTCTCATGGAGTTAACTTCTATTTCATTAATTTTAAGGGAGTTTTTTTCTTGTGCAAGGTACTCTTTTCAGTTCTTTCTTTGATAGCTCTCTTTTCCATTTCTTTCCTCTGGCACTCATTTCTTTTTTAAATCTTTTTGTTAGTACTTTAATTTCATTTATAACATAATTAAAAAACAAAACAAAACAAAAAACCATGCTTCATTTCTTCCTGGAATTGTAGTTGAATTCATTCCCCCAAACTGTTTTTCTTTGATGCTTTGCTTATAGATGCTTTGCAGTCATTTCCTTCTTGGTTTGTATTTTGACCATTCCTGTCACCATAATCCCTCTTTATGGTGGGATGCTTTTTTTTGTTCGCTTATTTCTTCTAGCCTTTCTACCTGACTTTGGACTTCGTGTTGGGAGCAGACTCTGCTCACTTCTGGTGGAAATATATAGGTTGTGTTGGTCCTATTTTGTGTTTTGGTGGGTCCTGCTTCTGCTTTCTCGGGGCACTGAGTATTATTCAAAGATCTCAGGGACCTGTTCAGGTTGGGGACCTGTAAACTTCTAGTTCCCCCAAACCAGTCTGTTTCAGACTGAGTGCTGCTTTCCTTGTCTGAGCTCTGCAAGTTCCTTGCTTGTGTCTGGGTGTGAGCAACACAACTATAGACTTGCTGTTGGAATCAACTGTCTGGAATTTTAGTCATCTGGAAAGCTCAGCAGGTGTAGAGTGACAGAACTGAAAACTCCTCATTAGTCTGGGCTTCCTGCCCTAATTTCTAGGAAAAAAAAAAATTCCCACTCCCAAAAAGATGCTATTTTCTTATTTCGTCATCTTATTTTGTAATGTGCTATCATGTAATATTTTAATAAAAGCTATTTTCCTAGCTTTTCTTATAGCCATATATAATAATAACATATAATAGCTGTTCTAATAACAATAATAATAAGTTATAATAATAACATATAATAGCTGTTTACTATTATTATTCTGCTCCAAGCTTCAGACTGTGTTTGACAGGAACCAAGACCTTGTTCCATTTCCCGGATCAGAACCACCCAGCTGTTGCTCCCTTCTGTACTTGTTCTGTGCTCAGGACACAGTTTTAGGACCCGTGACCACACCTTGCCCTTGACCTCCACCCCTATGGACAGTTTCTTACCTTTTGGGGCAGATCCTCTCTGTAGTCCTCATTGGATCTGTGGCCCAGTCATGGGATGTGAGTGACAGAGCTGCTCTTTGGCACTATTCTTGCATCCTGCGTGAGGTCAGGCCCTCTCTGATGGATCGAGGGTCCTTGATCTTACCCTGGCCCACAGACTTAGGCAGATTCTCATTTAGTCCCTGTGCTGGAATGTCCAGCATAGCCTGTTCCCATGTCCACACAGTCCCTTTCTCTTTGTCTCCCTGCGCTGATCTGGGCTGAAAAGATGACTCACTGTGATCTTTAACTGTGTTTCCTGATTAGTATGGTCTTGTGTATTATCTGGGCCTTTGTGGAGTAGCAGTCGGGGAGCCGGCAGTATTGCTTCCTCCTTTTCTGCCTTCTTGGCTGGTCTCTATCATCTTCATTTCCACTTTGTATCAGGATATATAAATATCTTTTCATGCTTTTCTATGTTTTTCCTTGGGCCTGCACAGACTGCAGCCTGTGGGCAATAAGCCAAAGGATTTTGGGTGGCCCACTAAAATGTAGAGGATAGAAACTACATTTTTTGTGGGCCACCCAAAATCCTTTGGCATACGATGGGCCGCAGGTTGTGCAGGCCTATTTTAGAGTGAAGTAATATCTACTATATTCATGAACTACAATGTTTAGCTGTTCTGCAATAGGTAGGTGTCTACTTTGTTAACAGTTCTTTGCTTCCACATAAAATGAATATTTTGGTATGTATTTCTTTCTTTCATTGACCTCCTTGGGGCCTAGCAGTGGAATCTCTGAGTTGAAGGGTATGGTAGGAACACTGTTCTAACTCATCTCTCATGCAAGTTAGGCTAATTTTTCCATAAATTGTATTGAGGCTGTCCTCATGTCTTGGTTGATCAGGTAACTAGTGAGATAGACTTTTGACATCATTTTTTTTTGGTTGCCATAGTTCAAAGTAGCCGTGAGGATCAGAGTAGCCATGAGGATCTCTGGGTTCTCTCTGGGGATTGGGATGTGTAATTCAGATGAGGGACCTTTACTCAACTGAATCAACTCAGGGTGTCCCTAATCCCTATCTTTGTTGAATATTCTTCTCTTGCTTTGGCTAAATGAACATCTTTTTTTATTAACTCTTGAATGACCTATGACTATGTAATTTTTTTCCAGTATGGAACCTTAATTACCAGGGGACTGGTCTGAGCTAAGACTAGCTTAAAACAAAGCATGTGGACATTTTAGTCACTTTCTTTGAGTAATTCCAAATTGTTTTTCAAAATCATTGGACACTTCATACCTCTACCAATAGTGAATTAGTTTGCATATCTTTTAGTGCCCTCCCTCTAACATTGAGTATTCTCATCTTTTCTTGTTTTTGTCAATGTGCTTGGTATGAGGCAAATCTTCAGAGTTGTTTTGATTTGTATTATTACTAGTGCTTTGGAGAAGTCTTTCAATATTTTTCTAAAAATTACCTCAATTTCCCCCATTATTCTTTTTTCCCCTTTCCAAAGAGCTATCACATATAATAAAGAATATTTTTTAAATGAAAAAGAGCAGAAAAGTCAAAAAAGCCAATCAATTCATTGAAAAAAAATCTGAAAATTCTTGTAATGTTTCACACCTGTACACCTTCTCCCTCCAGAAAGGAGTGCCTTCTCATATCTCTTCTTTGGGACCAGACTTGAGCTTTGTGATTTTTGCAAATTCACCTTTAGTTGTTTTGTGGTTGTTTTTTCCATTTCCATTGTTGTTGTCATTGTGTGTATTGTTTTCTTGGCTCTACTTACTTCACTCTGCTTCAGTTCATTGAAGTTTCTATGCTTCTCTGTTTTCATCATATTTGGATTTTTGTTACAGCACAACATTCCATTACAGTCATGTACTACTATTTGTTCAGTCTTTCCCCATCCAGCGGGCATCTATTTTGTTTTCTGTTCTTTTCATAACACAAAAACTGATGCTATAAGTGGTATTTATGGTAACTTTTTTTTTTAATTCAGTCACTTCCTTCGAGAATATGGCTAGTAGTAGAATCTCTATGTCAAAGTGTATGGATGTTTTATTTTACTCACTTTGCATAATTCCAAATTGTTTTCAAAATGTTTGTACTAATTCATAGCCTCACCAACAATTTATTAGTGTTCTTGTCTTCTTAAAATCAATCCAGCCTTGACTATTTTCTGTTTTTTGTCATCTTAGCCAATTTGCTGGGAGTGAGGTGTAACCTCAGAGTTGTTTAGATGTCATTTCTCTTATTATTAGTGATACGGAGTATTAATAGTTTTCATTTCTTATTTTTGAGAATTTTTATTTATATTCTTGGACCATTAGTCATGTTGAGAGTAGCATTTTAAGTAAATATACTTATGTGAGGAAATCTAGCAACTAGAGTGGGGGGAAGCATGGTGGAAAATATTTGGAGTAAGCATTACAGAAATAAACACTGTTGTCATTGCTGTGGAACATAATAGCTAGACAGAAAGATCTTTGGTAAACAAATCATAAGCCTGGCCCACAGGTGTAATGTATCAGTGGTGGAAGACTTCAATTATCCAGGCACCTGTTGGAGTTCTCTCTGTCCAAACATAGCAGCTAAATACTCACCTTAATGATATAAACATTATTTAACAGTAAAGAGACCAACTAAGGGTCTTATTATAAGGGTCTTATTATAAGGCTTTTATTCTAGAGATGAATCTTACTAACCTGAAGGAATTGATTGTTGAAGGAAACCTTGGACAGAAAGTACTACTACTCCACCTTAGAATTTGAGGAGAGGGGAGGGGAGGGGAAGGGAGGAGAGGGGAGCTAGTGAATGTTTGCCATACGTACACCTTTTTTTTTTTTTTTTTTGTGGTGAGACAATTGGTGTTAAGTGACTTGTCCAGGGTCACATAGCTAGTAAGTGTCATGTGTCTGAGGCCACATTTGAACTCAGATCCTCCTGACTCCAAGACTGGAGCTCTATCCACTGTGCATAAACCTTCTTTTTGAGAGTGTATATGTCAAAAGATTCAAAGAAAACACTTGTAGGATCTTCTGCCCTAAAATTCTACAAGAGATGTCAGTCTAGAAGGAACAGAATGAAATTCTTAAGAAACAAAGGTAAACAAATAGTTCCGAAAAAGGAGGAAAAGGGAGGGTTTATGTGATGAACTCATTGTGGATACACAAGGATTTCATTAATCAATTTAAAATTTTAAGAAGACATAAAAGAACAAAGCAAGGGCCTGTAAAGAAGGACAAAAGTGCCTGGGGTTGTCTTGGGAGCTAGTAGGTTTATGCTTTCTTGATGTCTTCAGGTTAAGTGTAGAATATCTGGTATTAGTTGAACTAGATGAAACAGTAAACATGGTTAAATATTGGCCCTGTGGGTGGATGTCTGATATCACATAGTGAAATCTTGGTATGACATACAGATCATAAAATTTGAAGGTAGGTTGGAACTTAGGACCTACTCTTATCCAACTGTTCTTCTTTGATCTTTATGACTTTCGAAACCTAATTTTTCTCTCCCCTTTTTGATCTCACCAATTTCTGACTTCTAAACCACCTAAGGCCATTTGTTTGGGCATTGGACAACATGTAGACTATGACCTAGCAACCTTATATTTTAAAGGTAATGTTTAGTTCTTTACTCTGATGGTCTCAAGTCCTAAAGCTGAAATAATGAACATTTCATAAACACAGTCCTTTAAAACTCAGGTATTAAAAATTAAAACTAGAAGACACATGGCTCAAAATGGTACTATCAGACCTACTAGTGCTCTTGAAAAGTATTTTTTAAAAACATTTTTTACCCTTGTTAATAACATTACCTTTTATCAGTATCGTCTTTATACTTTTTTGGAAAGTTTTCATGTTATCTTGTTTTGTTTTTGCAACAGTTTTTGATGTAAGCAGAGTGTTTTGTTAGTACGTTTTGCAGATGAGAAAGAGGCCTGGCCCAGAGGGGTTATACAGGGCTCATTTATATACAAATACTTCTCCTAAAATTTTACTTGCAAATAGCACAAGACATTGACATGGTGTGGTCAGTTCATGGTTGAGTGTAACTCAGTGCTGATGAGAAATAGATGGGTATAGATGAGGCCATCCAAGCCCATTGCTTCTTTCTGTTGTAGTTGAAACAATAGTGACTTGTCCTCATGTGTCCCCCTTGATAATGCTTACAATTTCCTAAAAAGACTAAGAAAATTGAGTGTCACACTAGCATTCTTTCAGGAACCATCATCTGCTAGAACAGTAACTTTCTCATTGATAGTTCTTTTTATTTGGCTTTATTTAAAGGCTGGACTAAAGTTGATTGACTTCAGTCTCTAACTGATTAGTATATATGTCTCTCTCAACTCTGCTTCCCTAAATTCTACTGTAGGCAATGTATAAACTACTTTAAACTGAATCAACTTATACTTCTAACGTATGGTTAAATACAGGCAAGTTAGGTGTCTGGTTAGGTGGCTTTAATTGTTTTTTAAAGTTTTCAATATTGTTTTTCCTTTGAAATCTCTTTTTTAGGCAACCTCCAGACTTCTGGTCAATTACCCTGAGCCATATCGTTCTGAAATATTGGATTATTTATTTAAGGTAATGTTAAAAGAGACATTTAGTGGTTGTGTTAAGAGCTGTTTGGGAATCTTAAATTTTGATAGTGAGGTTTTGTGGTTTTTTTTTTGGGCCACTTGAAATCAACTGTCATAAAAGTGACAGACATAAATTTAAATTCTGCCTTGTTTTAAATTTTGTCTTGCTTATCTTACCTATAAAATCTAGGTGATAACTTCTTAAAGTACTTTGAGCATGATAAAATGAAGGACGCTGTTAATATTGTTAATTCTTTTTCCTAGCCAGACTTTGGTGCCTCTTTGCATATTCTGAAAGTAGAAATAGGTGGTGATGGACAAACAACAGGTAAGAGTTCTGGGAAAATGGGACTCTTTTCAGCAGTGCATTCTGTGCTTAACTTTAAAGTACATTGTATTGGAATATGAATATCCCTACTTTTTGTCTTGAGGCAGCTAAATGCCGCAATGCATAGAGTGCCAGGTCTGGAGTCAGGAAGGACCCAAGTTCAAATTTGGTCTCAGACTCTTAGTTGCTATGTGACCCTGGGCAAGTCACTTAACCCTACTTGCCTCAGTTTCTCATCCATAAAATAATCTGGAGAAGGAAATGGCAAACCACTCTGGAATGTTTGCCAAGAAAACCCCAAATGGGGTCATGAAGGGTCAGATATGACCGAACAACAACAAAACTTTTTGTCTTAGTTTGGAAACTTTTTAATTTTACTTAATTTTGTTCAAAGCTGATTTTTCCATCTTGAGAACCACAGATTGATCGTAGGTTAACTGAGGTTAAATAATTAATGGGAAAGGACCTAAGGGGCTTTAAAGATGATAGATAAAAGTATAAAGTTTGGAATTTCATTGAGAAATTGAAAAAAGGGACAGCTATGATAGAAAAATGCAAAGAAAGAAAGGGAAGTCACTTAAAAATCACTTTTTTCTGATAAATTTTCTGATTAAATTTTCTGATAAAAACATGTGATTTAGCACTTTAGAAAAAATAAAATAGTTGTAAATGAATTATACCAAATTTAAGACACCATATGCTTTTGATATTATTGTTTTGATTAGACATGTGTGGCATATAGTACTAGTTTAATACTTTTGGAACCTCAGACTTCAAATTAAAAAAAATATAGGGAACATTTTTACAGGCTTGATCTTATCATAATAAGTTCTGTGGAAAATTTGTTCATTTTTGTAGCATGGAAATTCAGTTTTATAAGCCATTGGTGGAGGCCTATAATTTTTTTGATGCACCTAATTTGTTTTTGTATTTGAGAAGAATAATAAAGCACCAAAAAATTAATTGAACTATAAATCTCCCAAAAGACATCAGAAGAAAGTTGTATGTATATTTTCCAGCCAAAGCTTAAACTATAAATAGAACCAATTCAGATTGAGAGCTAGAAGGAACCCTAGAAATCATCTAGTCTAAACCTTTCATTTTACATATTTAGAAGTGAGGCATAAAGATGTAAGGTGGCATATGCAAGGCAGAGCTAGGACCTGAACCCCATTCTTTGTGCTGCACCACACTGGCACTGAGGCTGGGTACAGCACCTCTTTCAGAACTCCTCCCTACCTCCTCATGGCAAAGCTTGATTTAGGGACACCAAAAATGCCTCCAGACTGGGAACCAGGACAGTGGGATCCAGGACAATGGTAGCCCAGTCAAGATGTAGCAACCCATTTCCTCATAGTAGGAGAAGGCAAGTGGAGGAAAGCCATCTGTTATGCAATGGAGATTAAACATTAAATCTCTAAAGTGAGGAGAGAGAAAAGAGACCAGTTTTCACTGAGTTAAAAACTGAAATCCTTTGCATATGCCAAGAAATTCAAAGGTCACATAGTTCCTTCCCTTAGCAACCATAATATGACCATTTAGTATGTAGTAGTTGTCATTTCCAAACTGAAAGCAAACCATGTTGTATATATGAAATCAAAGTGACCCACATGTCTGCTTCCTACTCTTGAGGCAATTAGGTAGACATAAGGCTTTTTATGCTTAGGTCAGAACCTAGTCAGAACCACAGACTCCTTCCCAAAACTGTAACCTGCTACCTACAGGAACAAAAAGTCTGCACTGAAACAGGAGGATAGGTGAAGCCACTGCTTCTACTCATTTCCCACCTGCCGTCCAGCCTGACACTAGCCATGTGGCTAAAAGCCAAAACAGATATGGCAGCAGACAGCCCTTGGAGATCTCTGGTGGTCTTTTAACATGTTACTTATCAAAACGAAATGAATAGTGCACTGCATGCATAATCCTATTTCAAAATTCATTGCTTCTTTTTCACTTAACAAAGACGGGTTTATAGAATGAGAGCAAACATGGGAAGCTGTGTAATATAAGGTCTTTAAGGGCTGGCTGGAGTCCATCAGAAGTACTATGTGTGTACTACCTTTTGGTTTATTTTTTCTTTATATTCCTCTAGTCTTCCCCAAGTAATCACAGCCTATAAGACCATTAGGAACTCTGAACTTCAGCCCATACAGGATGAAAAAGATTGTTTTTTTCACCATAAGCTGGAAATTGAAGCTGAAAGCTGAGGAAGATCAAAATTCATATGAAGAGAATAAAAATGGAATTAGGGCTGTGCCCCAGTTGAAGTGAGAAAGGCTAGGAGTAACACTTTAGAGATTTCACATTGTGTGATAGAGTAGTTCCTATAATATAATGCATACATACCATAAGTTTGTAACTTTTGGATAACTACATTATCATGCTCTATGATGATATGAATTCTGTTCAGTTCTGTTCACCAAATTTGTATTAAATGCTTACTAAATGTGACCACTGTCCTTGTTGAAATATAAGGTTTAGAGAGGAAATAGTCCCTGCCCCATGGGAACTAATAGTCCAGGGGATGAAATGTGATTGTGTACTATAGTTTTCCAAGTATATTGTTGTTTGTCCTTCATTCTCGAAGACAAGAAGTGCAAAAGGTACTTTGGGTCCTGAGGGAGAAGGTCCTTACCTGTTTAGAGAAAGAAGAAAACTTCTTGGGGGAAGTGGCATTTGGGTAGGGAAACACTAGCTGTGTGACCCTAGGCAAGTTACTTGATCTCTATTTTACTCAATTTCTTTGTTTGTAAAATAGGGATAATAATAGTATCTGCCTTCTAGGGTAGTTGTGAGGCCAGCCCATCAGAGTTACATCTCTGAAGTAGAGTTTGAATTCTTGGCAGTTTAGCTTAAAAAAGTACCTCAGTGTCTGGTATCTTATCCTGCCAGGCAATTTTCAGAATCTTCCTAAGACAGTTCAAATGGAAGCGGTTCAGTTTCCTGGTGTGGTACTGGTAGACTGTCTAGGGTTCACAGGCATACAACAGTGAGGTCAGCACAGAGGCTCTGTAGACCTTCAGTTTAGTAGGCAGTCTAATACTTCTTTCACATACTTTCCTTTGGAGCCTCCCAAATATTGAGCTAGCTCTGGCAATGCATGTATCAATCTCATCCTCTCTGTATACATCCCTGGAAAGTATACTGCCAAGGTAAGTGAACTTACTATCCACAGTATTCGAAATTTCTCTATTTGCTGTATTTGATGATTCCACTTAAGGATGGTGTGGTGCTGGCTAGTGGAGAACTTGTGTTTTCTTGGTGTTAATTATTAGGCTAAAATTAGCACAAGCAGCATAGAGTGGATCCATACTTTGTTGCATTTCAGCTTCAGAGGCTGCATTGAGTGCATCTGTGAACAAAAAAATCGTGTACTAACTCTCTCTCTACCTTAGTCTTGACTTGTTCATTTTTACAATATTAATGTTCTAAAAGTCTGGGTTGGGATTGATTGGGGATAGAACAAAGGTAGAGGACATTCCAGGCAAAGCAAACTTCATGAGCACAGATGTGGAAGTAGGAGAATGTAAGGCAAATTTTAATGACAACAGGATTTAAATACTTCTTGTGTGCAGATTATTTAATTTCAAGGAAAAGATATTAAATTTAATGTTTAATTTATATTAATACATTTAATTAAATTTAATAATACTTTGAGCATTAAAGAAATCCTACTATAAAGTTATTTTCTGATTCCAAGTTTGAACCTGGAATGCTGTTTCTTAGAAGTGTGCATTTGGATGAATCTAGCATAGTTTGAAGTGCTGTGAACTAAAAACTTCCTTCCCTTTTTCCCTTCTTTCTTATTTAGATGGCACTGAGCCCTCTCATATGCACTATGCAGATGACAAGAACTATTTCCGGGGTTATGAATGGTGGCTAATGAAGGAAGCTAAGAAGAGGAATCCCAATATTAAACTTGTTGGTAAGAATTTTAGCTTTTGATTCTCCTTCAGAGCCTGTCTATGATCCAGATGAGAAGAGGTCTTATTACTTTATAATGGCATTATTCTTTATTCTTTGAAGATGAGTTTGATTTTGGAAATCAACCAAAGGTCATTTGGAATCATGTCTAATAATAGTTTAACTCACTCATTTACTGGAGGTGACCTGGATAATTTCTGAAGTGAAGTTTCTCAAACATAAAAATTAATATCAGTTTTTTTTCTAGATCAGGCACATGGCATTTATTTAGAATACATTTCATAAATTCAAAATAGTTGTGCTGTGAAGAATTACAGCTCAGAAGGGCTCTACTACGGGTCCACATGAACTTTTAGAGTAGGTATGTCCCTAAATTTGCTCAACTCCTGTTTCTTTTGAGCTACTGCAATTCTACTTTGCTCATAAATCACAGAGCCTTTTTTGATGTGGGCATGCCATGCTGCGTAGTCCTTTGTCAGCATCTCCAATGTCATGCAGTTGATTCCAGAATTCCTCAGACAGACCTTGAGAGTGTCCTTGTACCACTTCCTCAGACCACCATGTGACACCTTCCTCGCATGAGTTTTCCGTAAAATATTCTTTTAGGCAAACATAAGTTTGGCATTTGAACAATGTGGTAGTTGTGAAGATCAAATGAGCTAAAAATTATAAAGTGCTTATTTATTTAGCTCAGTGCCTGGCGCATAGAAAGTGCTATATAAATGTTAGCTGTTATTATTATTGTTATTTTTTAAATGTAATTTAAAAAAGTTTTACTGATTTTTTTTGTTTTTACATTATAGATATTTACAGATTACTCCTTGTGAGAGGTCTCTTGTAACAAAATAAAAGTTAAGTAAAACTAATAATATAGTGACCTCATATAAAAGTACACAGTGCAATATTCCGCGTCTGTAGCACTCCCCATTTCTTAACAAAAAGTTAACAGAAATTTATTTTTTCTTCTTTTCACACTCACACCTCTACCCCACTGGAAAAAAAAAGGAAAAAACAATAGTCCTTATAAGAAGTGTATGTAGTCAAGTAAAGCAAATTCCCTTGATGGCTGTATACACCCCCATACCCATACCCACACACCCACACCCATACACAAATACCCAGACAGACTTTCTAACCCTCAAGTTGAATGTTGACAGTAAAGTAGTATAAACTTACCAAAAGATCATTAGATGATTACTGTATTACTATATAGAGGGACTGATTTATACATACATATATACACAACTTGAGGTTTAGAATTAGATAGATCTGACCAAACTCTTAAAATATTCCCTTCTCTCCTTTGAGGCAGTAGGCACATTTCTTAAATGTGTTTTTTTTTCCAATAGATTCAATCAGTAAATATTTATTAAGTTCCTTCCCTGTACCAGGCACTGTGCTAAGCGCTGGAGATACAAATAAAAAAAAAATCCAGTTGCTGCCCTTAAAGAGTTTTCTAATGGGAGGAGACAGTACACAAAAGGAAGCTGAAAAGGAGGAGAAACTCTAGGGGGAACCCAAAATGGGGCGTGATGTTCCATGGACTAAAAACCAAGCAGAACCACTGATAGAAAATGGAGAGTTACCTGGAGGGTTCTGAGCCTGCTGTGAAGAAAGCTTTGGGAGGAAGTTTAATGCCCTACCCTCCCAACTGCCATCAGAATGGAGGGCAGCTGAGGGAGTAGAGAAGGTTCTGGGTATCAAACAAAGTTTTGTTCTCCACTTAGAAAAATACTTAGCTCTCAGGATTATTATTGGAAAAGAACATGGATGCCAGTTCCATCTATGACATTCACCAGATGAGAATGTATTCCCTGATTTTGTGTGTGTGCGTGTGTGTGTAAAAATAAGCATCACTTTTGATATTTTTTAGATTTGATCTATTAACTTAGGCTTTTATGCTTTGATTATCTCTTTCTTTAGGGTTACCATGGTCATTTCCTGGTTGGATAGGTGATGGTCAAAACTGGCCCTATGTCATACCTCAGATTACTGCTTTATATGTTGTGAGTTGGATATTGGGTGCTAAACAATATCATGATTTGGATATCGATTACATTGGGGTTAGTAACATTTAAAGTACCTTTGTTTTTTTAAGCCTTGCATCTTTAGTTAACCTTTATATTTAGACCCTATTTACATTTTATTGTGTAACTGGTCTTCCTTGTCATAAGGTTAATTTTTTCCTTTGGTAGTTGATAGTGATATAAAATTGCCTTTATTTTTCTCGGAAGTGCCATCCAGTTTCCTCTCTGCATTTACATATCACTCAGTCATAACTGGAATTGGGAGACTGGAGAGCCCATGTTCTAATCCTATTCTTGCCACTATGTAACTGAGATTTTGGGCAAGTTACTTAACCTCTGGGCCTCGACTCTCTCATCTGTAAAAGAGGGAGCATGTATTTGTTTGCTAGGGTGCATTTAAAATTCTGTGATTATCTAATTGTAATGGATTTTGCTCATATTCCCTGTTCCTATACCTCCTTTGTCCATTAAGTGTTTGATTTTTCTATTTGGCTCATTATTACATTTTTTGGTAACCATTTAGCAGATTGTTATACAGTTTTCTGACTCATTCTGACCTGGCCTCCAGAATGTAGGCCTGTGATTAATTGTCTTAACCTGTTGTCTTGGAAATTTTCTTTTGATCTTTTTTCCTGGATTCTAGTAAATTATTCAATAAATGTTTAACTCCTTTAGAACAATGGTGTGTTTTTTGTTTTTTTTCAAGCGCACCCTGGTGCCATATAAACCATAAATGTATGAATTCCCTAAGGAGGGAAAAGTGACAGTCACATAATTTGAAACATGGGAAGGGGGTAGTGGCATTTATTATGGTTCTTGTTTTACATTCAGACTTTTATATTTCAACCTTATTTAAAAATTTATGTTTTGTTTTGTAGATTTGGAATGAGAGAGCCTTTGACAGTGAATATGTAAAGGTTTGTATCACCTTGAAAAGCTTTGTTTCTGTACCATTGTTGGCAGAAAAAATAATTTATGATCCCACTGAAATTAAAGCTGTGGCAACAAATTTATTTTGTTGCTTGTAACATTGTTGCATAAAATCTCCTTTCATCTTGGTGTTTTAGCATTTGTTTCATGTCATAATAACAATTGACTCCAAAGATGACAAAATAGTTTTTCAGCCATTTTATACCATTCCTGGTATAATTCAGTAAAGATTTTTTTTTTAAGTAGGAATAATTTTTTAGCCGGGGGGGAAGCAGGGGTAGGGAATAGACACTCTCTAGACTCAGGATTGCATCAATGTAGGGAGCTTCCTGTGAGGCATCTTTCTCTATCCATGCAAATTGGATCCTTTCTGCAACTTAAGGTCTTAGAGAGCTGCCTGGGGACTCTGAGAGATTTAGTGCCTTGTCCTGAGTCACACAGCAGGAAGGAACTCAGGTCTTTCTGACTCTCAAGTCAGCTCTCACTACCCTTTTCCCAGAGGAATTATTTCCATTTGCAAAACCATCCTCCGAATGGAGTTTTTGAACACTTCTAAGTTTTTGTTTATAGGAAACATGTCACTTTAAAAGCTTATAGCAAAAGACTAAAAGATAGTACATAAGCTGTCTGTTAGAAGGCGAAGATGAAAACAAACTTAGAAACTAGTCTAACTTTGAAATAAAAGAAAAAAGGGTGTGAGTTGGAAGACTACTGAGACATTTCTCTTTACCAAAATTTAAATTAAATTACGCATTTTTATTTAATGTTATTACCCAAGAGAGAGAAGCTTATTTTTTGTGTTATCGCTCTTTGTTTACTAGCTGGGTTCATAGAGATGTGACTAAATTACTGTATTTTCCCTTTTGACTTGGGGAATGAGGAACTTGGTTTTGAAATTCTGGTTTAGAGCTAATATCATGAAGTTAGGAAACCTTGAAAAAAAACCTGGAAACATCTCTATTGAGCATAGGATTTAAAACTTGAATTTTTTTCCTTCCATCCAACATTTCAGACTCCATTTGCAATTTCTTTGTTTTCCTTTGCAGTGTTCAGCATGTTTGTTCACTCTTGTGTTATCGTTCTTTTTGTGATCAATTCATAGATACTAATACCTTTTATAGATACTAATGCCATTTTCATAATCATTGGAAAATATATGGTGGATTACAGTTTAGGATGAGGTGTGCTATGGTTATTTTTATTATGTGTCGCTCTCATTTTTGGGGAATCTACTTCATTGAGCTCTAGAGTTTCTTCATTAAAAATAATAACAACAACAATAAAAAACTAGCATTTATATGGCTCTTTGAGGTTGACAAAATACTTTACAAATATTTCCTCATTTTATCCTAAAAGGAAGCGTGGGAGACAGGTGTTATTATTCTTTCCATTTTACAGATGAGGAAACAGACATACAGTGGTTAAATGACTATCCTGGGATCAGACAGCTAGAAAGTGTTAAGGTGGAATTTGAACTTGGGTCTTCCTCACTTCAGGCCCAGTGCTCTATTTACTGCCCTATAAAGGAAGAAGTGCACAGTATGATAAGGTGTGAATTAAACTGATATGCACTAGATGTAGGTAGTACTCATACGAATGAGATCATGAGTCTTTTGGAATTACTAAAGTCACTGATTTTATCTTAAAACTTAAGTAGTTTTTTTTTCTCTCATGCTAGCTTAATAATAGTGATCCAAATAAATTGCATTTGTGTTGTGATAGAACTTCAATTATTTCTTCAAAAATGTGTGAAGCTGGTTGATATAGTCAGTAGAACACCGGACAGTAAAACAGGAAGACCTGAGTTCTAATCTCTTCAGACATTTAGTAGCTATGTGACCCTGGACAAGCCCACTTAACTTCTCTGGGCTTTAGTTACTGATTCTGTAAAATGAATGAGATGACCTCTAAGGTGCTCCATCTCTAAATCTATTATCCTAGTACTAGATGAAAGACAACATGGCGTGGTGGATAGAGAACTGGCTTCAACTCTAGGAGAGCTTGAGTTCAAATCTTGATTCTGTAACATCCTGGCTGTGTGACCCTGGGAAAATCATTTAATGCCTCAGTGCTCTAGGAAGCTCTTTAAGACTAAATTGCAGAGTAGGTCTCATGATCCTGCCTCTGGTTCTTTGGTACTTGAACTCTTTCTGTCTAATTGCAGTGTTTTTTCTTTGACTTAGAAGCTTCAGACTTTGGCTGTAACATTCTAGGTATCTTCATTTTGGGATTTCTTTTAAGAGGTAGTGGGTGGATTCTTTCTAGTTGCCATTTGGTTTTAATAGATCTGGGCAATTTTCTTTTATGTTTTCTTAAAATATGGTGTCAGAGTTTTTGTGTTTTGTTTGTTTTTTGCTCATGATTTTTAGAGATTCTGACGATTCTTAAGTGAACTTTTCCAGGGCAATTTCAGTTTCCTCTATTTTTCCCAGTCTTGATTTTGTTCTAATATTTCTTGTTGTCTTATGCAAACATTGAATTCTGTTTGTCCCATTTTATTTTTCAGGGAGACTACTACTTGAGTACAGTTTATTTTTTAAACCTTCTCTTCTAAGTTAATTTCCTTTCAATTTTTTCTTCCGAGCTACCCATTTAATTTCTAATTTCATTTTTAATAATCTCGTTTCCTTTCTACTAGCCATTCTTGTAGTTTGTGTGGCCATGCCTTTTTTTTTTCTCTCAGCTCTGTTTATAGTTTTTGTGGGGCTGCTTTCTTCTTCTGGTTTGACCTTTTGGTCTTCTTCTGACAGATTTCAGCCTCAACTCTTGACAGATTTGAATTCATGAAGATGAGTCTTCCTGACTCCAGGCATAGCACTCTAGTCATTTCACCATCTCGCTGCCATATAAATGTTGGCTATTATTATTAATAATAAAAATTTGTGAATTATAATAATTTATTAATCTAATTATTAATAGTTAATAATGATTGCTATTAATGTGCTAGTTTTTCTTAAATACTTGAGAGTAGAGATCCCTAATATCACCTATGTATCTATCACTACTCTTTTTTCTTCTCAATTATTTTATTTTTTTCAGTTACCTGTAAAAAGTTTTTAACATTAGTTTTTTTTTTAACTTTGAATTCCAAATTCTCTCCCTCTCTCTTCTCCCCCATCATTGAGAAGGCAAGCAATTTGATATAGGCTATACCTGTCTAGCACTATTCTTGATTATCAGTATAATTCAATTTGCTATTAACACCTGTAACTGTCTGATCTACAAATAGATGTTATTCTTTGTCTTTTTTTAGTAACATTAAGAGCAGCATTTTGTACCTTTATTGTAATACAGAATGATTTTTCTTCTAAGAATGTTAATGTCTTTAGACCAATCTTTTTCATCTTTGGATTTTTTTTTGTCACATTGTATAGATTAATTTTAAAGTAATTACATTACTTATCTTTTAAGGTAATGTTGCATTGAGGCTTAGAATTAAAATTTCTCTATAAGTCTGTGCACATAAATGAGATGTTTAAAGTATCTTTTCTCTTCTCATTCCTTAGCCCTGCCTTGAACCATCTCTTATAATAAATTAAAAAAAAAAGAAAATGGGGAAAAAAAAGCAGTTCAGCATAACTACTTATCACAACAACCAAATCTGACAATCCATGCCATATCACACATCTGTAGTCCCCCAACTTTACAGTGAAGGGAAGAAGTTAGAATTTCTTCAACTTTCCCTTGGGGTCAAGCTTGGAAATTACAATTGCACAGTGTTCAGTTGTGGTTTTGTTTTTACCCCTTTGTGGTAATCACTATGTATTGTTCGATTGGTTTTTCTTTGCTCTTCATTTATATGTGTCTTTCCATGAATCTTGTTCATTATTTCTTACCCTGTAGCAATATTCCATTGTGTTCATGTACTACAATTTGTTTAGCCATTCCCTGGTCAATGAACACCTGCTTTTTTTTTTTTTTAAGTTCTTTGCTACTACAAGGAGTGATGCTCTGAAAATTTTTGTATCTATGGGACCTTTTTTCCTGCCTTTGACTTCCTTGGGATATAGTGCCTAATGGTAGGATCACTGAATTGAGAGCTTTGGACTTTTTAGTCATATTAGGCTGTTATTCTTTTTTTTAAAAAAAAATAATCATTAGCTATTTCTGAGAGTCACTTAACAAGATTGAAAATCTGTTCTGTTTTTGCTTGTTGTTTTGTTACATGTGTGGTTTTTTCCTCTCTAAAGATTTTAAGAAAAATACTTTATCAGTACGGCCTGGACAGAGTGAAGATCATAGCCAGCGATTACCTCTGGCAACCCATTTCCTTTGCTATGTTACATGATAGTGAACTCATGGAAGCCATCGATGTTATCGGGTAGGAAATACTTCAGACTAGTTATTTTCTGTGTTTGCCCTATGCATTATGAGTTTATTTGTCTTTTCCACATGAGACTGCATCTTTACAGTTCTTATCTGTTTCCTTTAATTAAGTATACTTTTGATAAGACATCTGCATGAGATGGATTGGTGCTTTTGTTTTTTAACACATTAGTATTATTTTTAGCTCTTTTTGTCATAGCATAAATATAGGTAAGAGGTTTTTGAGAATTCGTAAATCCGTAAAAGGTTTGGAGTCTGGTAGAAAGAAGTCTAGAATATAGAATATTAATTAACATAGAAACAGATCTGTATTAAGGTATATGGCAGGAATCCAATGTTAGGTACTATAAAGTTGTTATTAGGTGAAATTACCTTCCCTTGATGTACATACCTTTTGTCTATCTGGATTCACAATCTTGCCTTGATTTAATTTCTTTTTTTTACCTGCAGCCCTTATTCACTACTTACTCTTTTCTATTTTCCTCATTATTTAGCTCTTTAATCCCAGTTTAAATCTTAGCATTTTCAAGGTAGAAGTGACCTTAGTCAGCCCAACCATCTCATTTTATAAATGTCAGCACAGTGCCTAGCACTTAGTAAGCACTTAATATTATTGTATAATATTGTATTATTGTATAATATAATATTATTATAATATCATTGAATGACTGTTGACTGACAAATGGGAAAACATTTAATTCCTACTCTGTATAGGAAACAGTGCTAGTTTCTGGGGGAGATATGAAAATTGAAAAAAAGTTACTTGATCACCACCCCCCTTGTCAATTTTCATTAATTAACAAGATTTATTTAGTGATTGCAATGATCTGGGTACCATGCTAGGTGCCAGGGATACAAGGACAGAAATGAAATAATCTCTGCCCTGAAGGATCCTTTACCCTATCATGGAAGAAGCAAGATTACATAAATAAATACAAACAAGCTAAGGGGTCTTTTTTAGGGGGAGAGGGGATGTTAACAGCTGGATAGGGCATTAGGAAAAGCTTTAATATGAGAGAAATTATTTTTCTATTATATTTATAACCTATTAAATTAAGATCCAGGTTTTTTCCTTTATTTCCTCATTTAAGGCCCAGCCCCTGTAAAAAGTCAGCTTTTAAAAGACAGAACTGATAAGATTGTTCTTAGTCATCAAGCCTGGTCTTGGTCAGGACCCCACTCAACTACTTCTGTTTAGAGTGTACTTGAAATCCAGTCTGGACTAGTTCGTACCCTGAGGGAAAGAGCCTCTGTCCTTGTACCCCTTCATTAGAGTTTAGGGTGACCCAGCTCATGAAGGAGAAAACCAGCCAGGGTGGTCTGGATTGAGATGGATTCCCCTATCTCCAGATTCCAGGAGGTGGCTGAGTCTCATGATGAAGCCACTTTCTCAACAGGAAGAATTAAAGGCTTCTAGCCCACCTCCTCATTAAATGTCCACCAATCAGGGTTGATGTTTCGGTTGTCAAGGGAATTCCCTTTCAAGGATTATTTAAAACTTTCAGGCTCTCCATGTCTTTTCTCTTTGATTACTGAGAGAAACCACTGACCATCAATATATTGATTATTAGCTAGCCTAATTAATAAATTTATTAATTACCCAGCAACTCTGTTTCATGGAGTTTTTTCATTTGTCACAAATAGAAGGTGCAGGAAAAGAAAACAGAAGATTCTAAGAGGAAAGGTGATGTGGGAGAGGATTCTAGGCTTGGAGGAGAGCCCAGTACAAAGGTGCAGAGATTAGAGATGGAGTACTGTGTATGAAGGACAGCAAGAAGACAAGTTTGGCTGGACTGTACAGTGTGTGGAGGGGAATAACAATGTTGGAAAGGTAGGTTGATACCAAGTTATGAGAGGCTTTAAAAAGCTAAACAGAAGAGTTTATATTTGATCCTAGAGTTAGTATGGAGTTTATTGAGAAAGGGATTGACATGGTTAGATCTGGACTTTTGGAGTATCACTTTGGAAGTTCTCTAGAGCAGAGGTGTCAAACTCATAATCCAGTGCAATATAGATAATATTAATTTGTGGGGTTTTTTTTCCAGCCAATATGCAGTTCAGGATGTGTTTCTATTTGAGTTTGACACCACTGCTCTAGAGGATGGATTAGAGAGAGAGACTTGAGGCAGGGATGTCAATTATGAGGCTGTTGCAATAGTCCAGGTGGGGATTGATAAAGGCCTAAACTAGAGTGGTGTCCAGGTGAGTAGAGAGAAAGAAATGGCTACTAGAGATGTTGTAACAGTAGAAGTGACATAAATTGGCAACTGATTAGTTATGTGAGATGAAGGAGAGTGAGGAATTAAGTATGATAATCCTAATGTCATAAACCTCGGAGACTGAAAAAATGGTAGTATTCTTGACAGAAATAGGAAAATTCTTAAAAGGTATGAATTTGGGAAGAAAGATAATGAGCTCTGTGTTAGTCATGTTGAGTTTGATGTGCATAGACTACATCTATTTAGAAATCTCTAAGAAACAATTGGAGATGTGTGACTGGAGATCAGGAGAGAGTACATAGGTCTGCATAGAGATGATACCATAGGAGCTGATGAGGTCACCCAAGTAAATGCATAAAAAGAAAGAATAGAAGAGAGCCCAGGACCCTACCTTGGTGTCCGTCACAGTTCAGGGGATGATAAGGATAAAGATCTAGCAGAGGAGATTGAGGAACAGTTAAACAGATAGGAGGAGAACTGAGGGAAACCAGTGTCTCAAAAACTCAGGGAGAGAGTGTCCAGGAGGAGAAGGTGGTCAGTAGTGTGATGCTACAGAGAAATCATGAAAAATGTGGATTGATTAAAAAGCCATTAGATTTGACAATAAAAAGATCATTGGTAACTTTGGAGAGAAAAGTTTCAGTTGAGTCTTGGAAGCCAGATTGTAGAGGGTTGAAGGAAAGTAGAAGCAGTGGGCATAGATAGCTACTTGATGGGTAGTTTGGCTGAGAAGAGGAGTAGAGATATAGAAAGATAGTTTAAAAGGATGGTAGATCAAGTGAGGGTTTTTTTCAGGATGATGACCTTTGGACGTCTTTGTCGGCAGCAGGGAAGGAATTTGTTGATAAAGACCAATTGAAGATTAGAGAAATGAAGACAAGATGATTTTATGAGCTGTATGCTAGAGAGCATGAAGTGGGGACAGGATCAGGGTCACATGTGGAGGGCTGGCTCTTATGAGGGCAAGAATCACCTCTTCATCAGACTCAGGTGAAGGAGGATAAGATGAGACATAATGTCAGAAGCATTGTGAGATATGGAGAAGGGGAGAAAAGGGAGCTCGTGACAAACGATCTTTATTTTCTTAGTCGTGGAAGGGATGCTTGAGAGAAGAGGGGGTTCAGGACAGCCTCTGTGCGGTGTGGGATAGAAAATAAATTAGGAAGGAATAATAAAAGCATTGTCTTGCTGTGCGGCATGCCCCATTGAGAGCAAATCGTCTGTAGTAGACAGAATTAGTTTGTTTGCATGATTTCTACGAGCTTATTCAGTGGCTTGTGAGTAGAAAGAGAAGAGTTGGAATTGGTGCTTGAACTGAGTTTTGAAGAAAGAAAATAATTTTATGAGGGAGAAGGGAAGAGAAAGAGCATTCCGGTTATGGGACACAGGCAGTGCAAAGAAACAGTGCGTGGGAGGTGGAGTGCTGAGTGTGAGGAACATCAAGAAATCTCTTTGAGCTGGACTGTAGAGTCTGTGATGGGAGTGGAGACCAGTGTCTGATGAGGCTGGAAAGGTGAGCTGGAGCAAGGTTGTAAAAGACTTTAAAAAGCCAAGCTGAGTTTATATTCAATCCTAGATGTAATGGAGATGCCGCTGAAATTTGAACAGAGGAATGGTATGGTCAGATCTGTTCTTAAGGAAAAAATCACCTGAGGAAGACGGAAGAAATGCAGAAGAGGAAGGATGGAGCAGAGTATGAGGCCTGAGGAAGGAAAACTGTTAGGAGGCCATTGCGGTAGTCCGGGCAAGGGACAATGAAGGCACTGTGGCACTGTGATTAGAAGAGGACAGATGAAGAGATTCTGTGGAAGTAGAAATGACAGATAGCAAAATAATGGAGTATTCACCAGTGTACTTTGTGCTGGGCTGTAAGTATCAGAAGCTCATAGTGAGCACCTTAGAAATGGAGAAATTGAACATGGAGATGATTTTATTTGTTAAAGGTGATATGAAATAGTTGTTGATAAATTGGAATTAGGAATCATCTTCTGACTCAATTTTTTGTGTCGTATCTTTTGAATTCACATGAGATGCTAAAAATAATTTTAGGCCTGAGAATGTGACCTACTTTCTGTGTTATCCCTGATGTTTGGGTGTGTCTTACCACTTCAATTAAACTAGATTGCTGCAACCGCAGCATAGTAAAAGGAAAGAGCTGGGTAAACTGATATTACCTGTGTGACCTTGGACGAGTCATTAAGTCTCACAAAAGCTTAGTTTTCTCGCTTGTGAAAGAGTGGACTTTGATCCTCTCACTATCTTCCCCAGAGAGTTTTTATGACGTATGTGCTTTGTTAACCTTAAAGCATGAAAGAAATGAACATTATTATTATCATTATTATTATTATTATTATTATTATTATTATTATTATTTTTAGACAAGTTTTGATTTGCTTTCCCAGGATAAGAATTTTCAATATGGCTACAGTTTAACAGTAAGGTAACTCCGTCCTAGTCAGGATATCTAGTACCTGTCCCTCATACAGCTATTTGTGGAAAAAAATTCTCTGTCCATGACTTTTAGTCTTATAGTGAGGGTGGTAATGGCTTTTCTCTACCTTATAGGTGTTAGTAATAATGGTATTTGTAATACTATTACTGGTAGGTATTTATTAAGCAACCTCAGGAATTGACATTGTATTAAAATGAGTAAAAATATATAAAATATTTAAAAATCTATTTTCATTTTAGAGTACTTTATTTCTTAGAAGGCTATTGAACTGATATATTTACTGGTCTGTTTGCATAGAGTTATAGAATCCTTTATTATGATTTA